CAAGAAGCAGGAAAAAGCTAGAGTCGTCTTGAAGAGAGAGTGAGCAGGCCAAAGCCTGTTAGAGTTAGTGGGCCAAAGCTGGTGTCGTCCTGAGGAGTGTGAGGTAAACCTCAGTGTGAGAGAAGCCTCGTGTGAGAAAACTCCAGTGTGAAGGCTGCTGCGTGTAAAACTACTATGTATTTGTTTGTTTGTGTTATGGAAACCTAGTTCATAGAATCCTAGATTGGAAGAGAACTCGGGGCCATCCAGTCCAACCTCGTGCTAAGAAGCAGGAAAATTGTCTTCAAATCACCCCAACAGATGGCCATCCAGCCTCTGTTTCAAAGCCTCCATCCTCCAAAGAAGGAGCCTCCACCACACTCCGGGGCAGAGAGTTCCACTGCTGAATGGCTCTCACAGTCAGGAAGTTCTTCCTCATGTTCAGATGGAATCTCCTTTCTTGTAGTTTGAAGCCATTGCTCCGCATCCTAGTCTCCAGGGAAGCAGAAAACAAGCTCGCTCCCTCCTCCCTATGACCTCCTCTCATCTTTTTATCCATGGCCCTCATCATGTCTCCTCTCAGCCTTCTCTTCTTCAGGTAAACATGCCCTGCTCTTTAAGCCGCTCCTCATCGGGCTTGTTCTCCAGATCCTTGATCATTTTAGTCACCCTCCTCTGGACACATTCCAGCTTGTCAACATCTCCCTTCAATTGTGGTGCCCAGAATTGGACACAGTATTCCAGGTGTGGTCTAACCAAGGCAGAACAGAGGAAAAGCATGCCTGACCACCGTCTCCCAAAGCAGTTGCTCTACTCCGAACTCAATAATGGAAAACGGAATGTTGGTGGGCAGGAAAAGAGATTGAAAGGGAGCAGTATTCTGTTGCCCGCGCAGAGTGAAGGCCGTGGCCGTTGGACAGCTCTGATGGTTCCTCTGCCTTGACATTGCTGTGTTATTGTCACCCAACGGAGCCATCTGGTGCTGTCGATTCGAGGATGGGTTCCCTTGTAAAAATGGCACAGTGTCCTTTTTTATTAATGCACACTGAACCACGCCATGTGTGAAGCAGCCCAGAAAAACATGCTCAGGGGGTGATGCCTGACATGAACTGCGGTGGCAGACCTGCTCCTGATCGTATTTCAGTCAATCTTTTGCAAACAGTTGGCTTTCCGTCCCTCGCCCCTCTGCTCTGAAAAGGGGGCTGGGTGTGGGGGGGGGGGGTCATTCACCCTCCCTTCCCCATCTCCCTGTTTTAACAGATGTCAGGCAAAGTTTTTTTGGCTTTGGTTTCATTCTTACTGAGGCTCATCAACCAGGCCTGACTGCTTTTGTGCTTTCCACATTTAATAACATTGAGGCCTGGTGGCGCAATGCGTTAAACCCTTGTTCTGGCAGGACTGAAGACCAACAGGTTGGAAGTTCGAATCTGGGGAGAGCGTGGATGAGCTCCCTCTGTCAGCTCTAGCTCTCCATGCGGGGATATGAGAGAAGCCTCCCACAAAGATGGTAAAACATCAAAACGTTCAGGTTTCCCCAGGACAACATCCTTGCAGATGGCCAATTGCCTCACACCATTCGGGTGTCCTCTGGGCAACGTCCTTGCAGACGGCCCATTGTCTCACACCATTTGGGCACCTCTGGGCAACATCCTTGCAGACAGCCAATTGTCTCACACCATTTGGGAGTCCTGTGGGCAATGTCCTTGCAGATGGCCAATTGTCCCACACCATTCGGGTGTCCTCTGGGCAACGTCCTTGCAGATGGCCAATTATCTCACACCATTCGGGCATCCTCAGGGCAACGCTCTTGCAGACAGCCAATTGTCTCACACCATTCAGGACTCCCCCGGGTAACATCCTTGCAGACAGCCAATTGTCTCTCACCATTCGAGCGTCCTCTGGGCAACATCCTTGCAGACGGCCAATTGTCTCACACCATTTGGGAGTCCTCTGGGCAACGTCCTTGCAGACGGCCAATCGTCTCAGGCCATTGGGCGTCCTCTGGGCAATGTCCTTGCAGACAGCCAGTTGTCTCGCAGCATTCGGGAGTACACTGGGCAACTTCCTTATTTATTTATTTACGACCTTTATTTGCCGCCTTTCTCACCCCGAAGGGGACTCAGAGCGGTTTACAAGTAATATGTAAATACAATATATTATATTATTACCATAGCATAATATTAGTATTATATATTAATATACCATTATACTATAATATTATTAGTAATATTACATGTAATATAAAATATATAATTGTAATATCACGTTATTATTATTAGTATTATATTGTATTACATTATAAGATTATTGATATGGTCTAACAAGGCCCAAGTACATTGATAATTCCCAATCTGGTAGCATTAGTAATTTTTTAATTCACCCTATTTATACCCTGCCTTTCTCAACCCCAAAGGGAACTCAAGGCAGCTTACATATAGGCAATTAATCAATACCTTAAGTAGTCGTACTCAATCTTAATCTAATCGTCCTCCTCTCCATAAGGTACTGAGGAAAAATAGGTTTTCGGTTGTTTTCTGAAGGAGAGGAGTGAGGGGGCCAGCTTAATTTTTTTAGGGAGGGAGTTCCAGAGACGGAGAAGATCCTCTCTCTCGTTCCCACCAGCCATACTTGAGATGGGAGTGGGACCAAGAGCAGGGCCTCCTCCAATGTCCCCAGTGCCTGAGTTGGTTTGTAGTAACCTGGTTAGTAACCTGGCTACCAATCTCTGAACCAGTTGAAGCTTCCGAACTGTCTTCAAAGGCAGCCCCACGTAGAAAGTGTTGCAGTAGTCCAGATGAGATGTCACTGAGGCGTGGATTTGACCATGGCCAAGTCTGGCATCTCAAAGGACTATGCAAAGGCACTCCTGGACACCAACGACACCTGGATCAGTGATGAGACCAGGATCACCCTCCGTTTGCAGACCTGTGTCTTCTGGGGAGTGGGACCCCATCCAACACAGACTGTAATCCCACATTTTGAATGAATACTCCCAGACTCCAGACAGCGTTGCAGGGGGTCTTATGGGAGTTGGAGTTTAGGAGGTGTTATCATTATTATTTAAGTTAAATTTCATATATACATTGCCAGACTGAGACTCACTCTGGGTAGCTTATAGCCTTTGAAAGAACTCGGCTAAACAATATCGTCATACAATGGTTAAGAGCATAATTAAACTATCAATAAAATTAAAAGTGGTTAAAAGCAACTCAGTAAAAAGAAGAACAGCAAATATGAACCACATGGCACACGAGAGGCCCTTTCTCTCTGAGCAACCAGTCCTGCTCAAAAACAAGGTTACTGCTTGCCTGTGGAAGGGTCAAAAGCAAGGTGCCAATCTACGAGGGTTGAATGAAAAGTAATGCCTCCACCTTCGTAACTCCTCAACAGATGGCAGTACTGGTATGTGGCAGGTACTGGCTTGTTCAGTAGACTCTCCTCTGCGCTTCCATTTTGGTGGAAAGCCTTAGTATTGAACGGATGTGTTGTTAAAGTGAAACGTAATGCCTCCACCTTCGTAACTCCTCAACAGATGGCAGTACTGGTATGTGGCAGGTACTGGCTTGTTCAGTAGACTCTCCTCTACAGTTCCATTTTGGTGGGAAGCTTTAGCATTGAATGGTTGTGTTGTTGAGGTGAAAAGTAATGTCTCCACCTTCGTAACTCCTCAACAGATGGCAGTACTGGTACGTGGCAGGTACTGGCTTGTTCAGTAGACTGTCCTCTACAGTTTCATTTTGGTGGGAAGCCTTAGCATTGAACGGTTCAATGACTGTATGTTGCTTAAGTCACATTGACTGACCTTCTGCACAGGGTTCCATACTTCACACTTTAACAACACAACCGTTCAATGCTAAGGCCTCCCAATGCTAAGACTTGTGAAACTCGGTGGTTGCTGTCACAGGACGTCCAACTCTTTGTCACGCAAGTCAGATGTTCCCACCTCAACATCTTTAAACTTACTCTCCCAATAACGCACAGTACTCACATCAACACAATCACCATGCATTCTCTGATGAATCTCCTTTGGAGTGACACCTTCTGCTGTCAAGAATTCAATGACTGCATGTTGCTTAAGTCGTATTCACCGTCCGTCTGCATAGGGTTCCATACTTCGCACTTTAACAACACAACCATTCAATGCTAAGGCCTCTCACCAAAATGGAACTGTAGAGGAGAGTCTACTGAATGAGCCAGTACCTGCCGCATACCAGTACTGCCATCTGTTGAGGAGTTACAAAGGTGGAGGCATTACTTTTCATTCAACCCTCGTAGTTTCCAACCTGTGCAAAATATTATTCAGATAAGGCACACACGTGTCTCTTTTCATAACAGCCTCATATGGCAATCCCACATCTAGGAGGTACTATGACAACCTCACAACCTCTGAGGATGCCCGCCATAGATGCAGGTGAAACGTCAGGAGAGAATGCTTCTATAACATGGCCATATAGCCCGAAAAACCTACAACAACCCAATCCCACATCTGCTCAATATCTGCATGCGGAGATATGCTGTGTACACACAACACAATCTCAGTGCAGCATGGCAACGTTGTGCAACATGTCAACAACTGAGTGTCTGCATTCCAGTCCGCAAGTGCTTCTTAAGGCCTTGGGACGCAAAATAACTTTTCCAGCTCTGGACAGCCATTTCCAGCAATGTTTTCCTTCCCCTTGCTGTCCAAAGTGGTATAATCCAGGCCCTGGATTACCACCTCCATGAGAACTAATCCCTTGTGATGTAAAGAAGATGGTGGGAAAGGTCTTCTGTGCTTTAACACTGTGGGAAAAATGATAATTTACAGAATATATCAAAAAGGAGTTCCGCACGAGACTAGCACTCCAATGTATTTTTTTTTTTTTTAGCCCTCTGTTTTCTTGGGCGAGGGATGCCTTCTTGCCTTTCGGAAACTGATAATGTTAATTTTTTTTCAATGGTCTGATTTGACGCTGTTGCTTGTTGACATTGACCTCTTCCATCTAATTTCTGTGCATTTCTCCCCCTGTTTTCCCACGAAGACCTTACCTGTTTGGAGCAGGATGTTTTTCCATAAAAGCTCCATGGTGAGTTCAGTTCAATCCCAGCATGCCTTCTAATTATTTTGCTGTCCTCACTGGGAATTGTCATGGATTTGCTTTTCATCATCATCTTCTTCTCCTTCGTACATTGCATGAGCTCATCGTTCCTTCCATGCAAGTGATACGTGACTGGGGGCAGAACGAAGTGTGAGGATTTTGCATTGAGTTTCCCATTTTTCATTCCCATAATGTCTTGATGTGACGTGTCGATATTATTGTGTAGTGTTGTATTGCCTAGGTGGGCCTCCTCCTTCTCTGGTCCTCTTCAGGCAAGCTGCTCAGTCTTCTGATCTGAACTAGGCAACAAATATTGTAATGCCCCAGAATAATAATAATAATAATAATAATTATTATTATTATTATTATTATTAATATTATAAATAATAATAAAATATATAAATAAAATATTTATAATATCCTAATGAAATACAATATAATACTAATAATGATATGATATTATAAAATAAAATAACACCAATTTAAAATCATCAATAAGACATTGAGTTAAAACAAATTAAGCATTATTGTCAAACCATATCACCATTTCCAATCTGATTCATCATCCATTATTATTATTATTATTATTATTATTATTATTATTATTATTATTATTATAAATAATAATAAAATATATAAATAAAATATTTATAATATTCTAATGTAATGCAATATAATAGTAATAATAATATGATATTATAAAATAATATAACACCAATTTAAAATAATCAATAAGGCATTGATTTAAAACAAATTAAGCATTATTGTCAAATCATATCGCCATTTCTAATCTGATTCATCATCCATTAATAATAATAATAATAATAATAATAATAATAATAGCAGGATTGAAGAGAAACAACTAGAAAAGCTGACATTAAGCGAGGATTTAAATATCAAACTGCAAAGACTCTAGCACATGTCAGTTAAGGTGGACCCAGTGGTGATCGGCACACTGGGTGCAGTGCTTAAAGACCTTGGCCTGCACTTAAACACAATCGGCACTGACAAAATTAACACCTGTCAGCTGCAAAAAACCACCCTACTCAGATCTGCATGCATTATTTGCCGATACATCACATAGTCCTAGACACTTGGGAAGTGTCCGATGTATGACCCAATACAACAACCAGCAGAGTGATCTTGTTTGCAGGGGACTCACCTTGTTGTGTTTCAAATAATAATAATAATAAGAAGAAGAAGAAGAAGAAGAAGAAGAAGAAGAAGTCCAGCATATATATATATATCTCATTTGCTGTGACATACTGTGTTTTTGTGTCAGTAAAATAATAATAATAATAATAATAATAATAATAATAATAATAATAATAATTTCAGAGCTTGGTTAAAGTTAATTTTGAATTAATAGTCCCAGAATAGTCTATATTCTGAACTAATATACTAATTAACTAATAGTCCATTCATGCCTCTTCAAATTCTACAGCACTGCTGGTCACAGCTGACCTCCAGCTGGAGCACTCAAGGGCCAGGGCTTCCCAGTTATTAATGATTAATAATATTTATTTCTTACCTGCCTCTCCTCATGGATCGAGGCAGAATAGCTTCTCATTGATTATCAGTGGGCAAAAAACCGAATGTGGAAGGAGAGAAACAGATATCAGTAATGGACTCCCTTAACTGCTCAAAGGACCACCAGGACCTTTTATCATGTGGTAGTTGCCCATTTCAATTCCCAGGACTTTACCATAAGAGTTGCTTATGTTAGATGTTGTGCACCCATGTTTCAATACTCCATTTATGATCTTTCTTCTTTCCACAAGAAAGAAGAAAAATGATAGGGGGGCATTGTCTATTGGTTGATATGCTAGGGGCCTTCCATCTGGAAGCTTCAGGTCTGCCGCTTCCTACTCTCTTTTCACAGCTGGCCATGCGGAGTAGTTATGGAAAAACACGACACAGTGACCATATGTTGCAGAGCTCCATAACTGCCCCTTGCTGGAAGAAGGGTGGGAACCTGGCCTGGAGTTGCTATATTTGGTGGCAACCCTCACACTTAGTTCTGCCCTGAAAACGGTCAAGCCATTGTCTCCTTGTTGTCCTCTGCCTTGGGCATTGCCTGCATTGTGGCTGGCCTGAGCTTCTGCCCAGATCGTTTTTCCAAGGCTTAGAGAGTTCTCTTTCTTTGTGCTGCTTAAGTTCCTTCACCCTTGCTCTGCCCATTTGTGGTCTTTGGCTGGGACAATGTCACAGAAAATAACACACAATCCAACATTTCTCAGATGCAAGCTAGAGCATATGTGGCCAAGCAACATCACAGTGTAGTTTTTTTTCCCTTGAAAAACTGCAAGTTGCTTCTGGTGTGAAAGAATTGGCTGTCTGCAAGGATGTTGCCTAGGGGACGTTGCCCGGATTTTTTGATGTTTTATCATCCTTGTGGGAGGCTTCTCTCATGTCCCCGCAATGGGGAGCTGGAGCTGACAAAGGGAGCTCATCCACACTCTCCCCGGATTCGAACCTGTGACATGTCGGTCTTCAGTCTGCCCGCACAAGGGTTTAATCCATTGCACCACCTGGGGCTCCTATATGAAAAAGGGGAGTTAGACTACTTACTTACTTAGGTGATCCCTTGTTGTCCGAGTAGGATAGTTCTTCCAAGATCAGTGTCCTGGTGGTAGGCGTAGGTGACTGTGGAGCCCTATTCTTGATCTGCATCTTCTCCCGCAGTGAGGGCATTGGTTTCCAGGTGGAAGGCGGTCCCGGTCGGGGTTGGCTTGACATGCCTTCCTCTTGGCACATTTCTCTCTTTCGCCCTCCATTCGTGCCTCTTCAAATTCTACAGCACTGCTGGTCACAGCTGACCTCCAGCTGGAGCACTCAAGGGCCAGGGCTTCCCAGTTCTCAGTGTCTATGCCAGAGTTTTTAAGGTTGGCTTTGAGCCCACCTTTCAATCTCTTTTCCTGTCTTCCAACATTCCGTTTTCTGTTCTTGAGTTCGGAGTAGAGCAACTGCTTTGGGAGACGGTGGTCGGACATCCAGACAACGTGACCGGTCCAGCGATGTTGATGGTGGAAGACCATTACTTCAGTGCTGGTGGTCTTTGCTTCTTCCAGCACGCTGACATTTGTCTGCCTGTCTTCCCAAGAGATGTGCAGGATTTTTCGGAGACAGTGCTGATCAAATCGTTCTAGGAGTTGCATGTGACATCTGTAGATAGTCCATGTCTCACAGGCATATAGTAGGGTTGGGAGGACAATAGCTTTATGAACCAGCACCTTGGTATCCCTACGGATGTCCCGGTCCTCAAACACTCTGTGCTTCATTTGGAAGAATGCTGCACTCACAGAGCTCAGATGATGTTGTATTTCAGTGTCAATGTTGACTTTTGTGGAGAGGTGACTGCCAAGGTAGCAGAAATGGTCAACATTTTCTAATGTTACACCATTAAGATGTATTTCTGACATTGGAAAGGGATGGGCTGGTGACTGCTGGAAGAGTACTTTGGTTTTCTCGATGTTCAATGAGAGGCCACTTTTCTCATATGCTTCTATGGATGTCCTGGTCCTCAAACACTCTGTGCTTCATTTGGAAAAATGCTGCACTTGCAGAGCTCAAGCAGAGTTGTATTTTGTGGCTGCCAAGGGAGCGGAAATGGTCAACATTTTCTAATGTTACACCATGACTCTGTATTTTTGGCATTGCAGAGGGATTGGCTGGTGACTGCTGGAAGAGCACTTTGCTTTTCTCGATGTTCAATGACAGGCCGAGCTTCTCGTATGCTTCTACTGATGTCCCGCTCCTCAAACACTCTGCATCATTCAGAAAAAGAGCACTTTGGTTTTCTCGATGTTCAATGACAGGCTTAGCTTCTCGTATGCTTCTACGGATGTCCCGCTCCTCAAAAACTCTGTGCTTCATTCGGAAAAATGCTGCACTTGCAGAGCTCAGGCAGTGTTGTATTTTGTGGAGTGGTGGCTGCCAAGGTAGCGGAAATGGTCAACATTTTCTAATGTTACACCATTGAACTGTATTTCTGGCATTTCAGAGGGATTGGCTGGTGACTGCTGGAAGAGCACTTTGGTTTTCTCAATGTTCAATAACAGGCCGAGCCTCTTGTATGCTTCTATGGATGTCCCACTCCTCAAACACTCTGTGCTTAATTCGGAAAAATGCTGCACTTGCAGAGCTCAGGCAGTGTTGTATTTCAGTGTCAATGTTGACTTTTGTGGAGAGGTGGCTGCCAAGGGAGTGGAAATGGTCAACATTTTCTAATGTTACACCATTAAGCTGTATTTCTGGCATTGCAGAGGGATTGGCTGGTGACTGCTGGAAGAGCACTTTGGTTTTCTCGATGTTCAATGACAGGCCAAGCTTCTTGTATGCTTCTACGGATGTCCAGGTCCTCAAACACTCTGTGCTTAATTCGGAAAAATGCTGCACTTGCAGAGCTCAGGTAGTGTTGTATTTTGTGGAGAGGTGGCTGCCAAGGTAGTGGAAATGGTCAACATTTTCTGATGTTACATCACTAAGCTGTATTTCTGGCATTGCAGAGGGATTGGCTGGTGACTGCTGGAAGAGCACTTTGGTTTTCTCGATGTTCAATAACAGGCCGAGCTTCTCATATGCTTGTACGGATGTCCTGGTCCTCAAACGCTCTGCGCTTCATTCAGAAAAATGCTGCACTTGCAGAGCTCAGGCAGTGTTGTATTTTGTGGAGAGGTTACACCATTAAGCTGTATTTCTGGCATTGCAGAGGGATTGGCTGATGACTGCTGGAAGAGCACTTTGGTTTTCTCGATGTTCAATGACAGGCCGAGCTTCTCGTATGCTTCTACGGATGTCCTGGTCCTCAAACGCTCTGCGCTTCATTCGGAAAAATGCTGCACTTGCAGAGCTCAGGTGGTGTTGTATTTCAGTGTCAATGTTGACTTTTGTGGAGAGATGAGGGAGAACACACAAATGACAAGCGATATCATAGTGTTGGAAGAAACCCATGTTGTGAAAGTATGGTTTATGCCAGTCTAAAATTG